GTGTGTGTGTGTGTGTGTGTGTGTGTGTGTGTGTGTGTGTGTGTACTTGTTTCAACCACAGAGTGAGGACCATTTGTGAAACAGTTTCCATCAAAGTGAAGTTGAGGACCTCTTCAATGTCCTCACTTTGTTTGAAGCTCTGCTGTGTTAGGTGTAGAGGTATGGTGTGAATTAAGTTCTGGTTCAGGTTAGTGTTAGGAATCGACCAGTAATGGTTAGTTTTAGGGGAAATATCTGGGTTAGGCATAAATACAGCTACAAAAATGAATGGAAGTCAATTCAAAGTCCTTGTTTTAATGCAAGGCTGTGTGAGAGTGTCTCACCAGGAACTGCAGAAAGATCCCCAGGTGGCTCGGGGTGAACGGCAGCAGGAAGGCGCACAGGCTGCTGCAGATGATCTTCACRCAGGCCCGGCTCTGAGAGCTCCGCTGCCCCGACTGCTGGAGCGCCGAGATGGTGTGAGCCGAACACAGGACCACCACCACSACGGGCCCCAGGAAGCCGAAGAACATCACGCAGCTGATCACTGCGGGACTCCAGCCCTTCTCCGAAAACCTGTGGAAGCAGTGGATCTTCGACTGGTTGCTTTCTCGGAACCTGAAGGTGACCGGAAAGGTGGCCGAAATCACCAGCACCCAGATCCCCAGGCAGCTGATCACAGCCGCCCTGGGGGAGCGCAGCTGCTTGGCTTTGAAGGGGTGACAGATGGCCAGCCACCTATCTACGGCGATGCACGTGATCATGTAGATGCTGCCGTACGTGCCGACAAAGTAGAGGTTTTCCAGAAAGGAGCAGAGAGGCCAGAGCGTGCCGTCCCACTCGTGATTCACAGCATGCATCTTGGAGGGTAAGGGCAGCAGGAGGAGCAGGTCCATCAGAGCCAAACTGGTCATGTAGATGGTGGATTCGGTCCATTTCTTCAGATACACGCAGAACACCAGCAGGGCCGCCACGTTTAGAAGAAGGCCCACGACAAAGACGGGGATGTAGATGACCAGCTCCAGAACCTTCATGAGCTGGTCGGCTTGGTCTGTGCAGTTTTCCCTGCAGGACAAACGGTTCAGTCGTGGTCCCATCAGCACTTGTAATATTTCAACATTTACCAACTTCGATTTGAATGTGCCTTTCCTGTTGCTACTCTTGGTTCCCACAGAGACACACAAACATGATAAAAACACCAAACAAGAGTGAAACTTCTCGTGTGTGTGTAGGCGCACGGCTTGTTTTTTGTTTCTGATTTGAACAACAAAGGCAGAGTGCCATGAGAACTGCAAATATTGGCACCTGTTCTTTATTCTGAATTTAAATCTGAATCAGCACTGACATTAAAGCTAATCGGAACAAAATTCAAGCTGTTTGGGTTTGTGGAAATCACCCAGACGACAAAGGCCGCAGTTTGTCCAGAAGTACATATGCAGTGAAGTAACATTAGAAGTAGTGTGTTTGACTAGATAATAATTAATCTCCAGTTTTGGTCTCTTCGGAGTTTTTTCTGTTCTAAACTGCAGATCAGAATGATCAAGGACTTTTCTGAAACGTGACGATTTTTCTGCCATTGTCTGAGCTTACGGCAGAGAAAAAAAATCAACAATTTTTAGTCTGAGGTTAAAAACCACCACTTTACAAAAACATTACCAAATATATAAAATTAGGATCTGAGTGACAACAACTAAAATAATGTTTCCGTGTTAAAGTGAAACTACACAGACAACTTTAACACATACTTTCCCTCGCTCTAGAAATATACCGCATTTTACTAAATACAATATATTTTTAAAAATTAAAAAAAATCTACATACTGAACAATTTTCTGTTTTTTTTTTTTTTTTACTTATTTTAAACAGATTATCAAAGAAAACTCCCTCACACTTCAAACCTTTAACAAAACACTTAAACAACTGATCAAACGCTGAGTCTAATCTGTGTTTGAGTTTACGGCGTCTTGTCGAGTGGAAAAATGTGAAATTAGTGGTTCTCTTACCCCATGACTGTCTCAGAGGACTTTTTCAGTGTTTCCAACTGTCTGTGCCGTGCCAGACAAGCTTCTGCTTTTCTACCTTTTGTTGTTTCATCACCACTTCCTGAGTCATGCCACACATCATGTATGTTTGCTTAGATGTGCTTAAGAGCACAACTTGCCCAGCAGGTCTTTCTCTGACACTCTCTGACAAACTGCACATGAAAATATCTCAAAGTGGCTGAAATTAAATGCAGCTTGGAGAAACTAAATTAGAGAAATTACATTTTCTGTTAAAAAAAATATGCAACGACTGCTGAATGCCTTTGAATAACTTTGCCTAAAAGCCAATACAGAGTTATTAAAACTAAAAAATACAAATCAGCAAAATAGAGCTATGGCTAAATGCTAAAATGCTCAAAGGAAAGAAAATGCTAAAAGCAGCAAAATGCTTGATAAAAATTAAAGTAGCAAAGGTCTAGCTAAAAGTAGTAAAAGTGATAAAAACGCTAACTTAAAGCTAAAAGTATAACACTGCTTGCTAAAAGTAGTGAAAGAAGCAAAAAGCTAAAAGTAGCAAAACACAAATTTAAAGCTAAACGTAGGCCTACAATAATGCTAGCTGAATGTAGCAAAAATGCTAATAAAAAGTAGCAAAATGCTAACATAAAGCTCAAAGTACCATATTGATTTGATTTGTTTATTTAACAGGAAAAGATTACTAAAAATCAAGTCTGACTCAGCATAATTGCTGTTTTGCAGCAGGTTCCTGTTCTGCAGCATATAAAACACAGAATTACAGCATCACAATCACATCATTATACACCATAGACACAAAGACAAACAAGCATACCAAATTTCAGGAAGGTAGCATTTGCAAAATCGGACGTCTAAATATGAGCATAACAAAAAGTGTCCAACAGATGGCAGACAAGATTCTTCTTAAAGGGCTGTAGTTTTGAAATGGACTTTATGTTTTGAGGAATGTCATTCCATGCTTTAGTATAAACATAGAAGAAAGACCTCTGGCCGTAACAGTTTTTAAAAGTTGGTAATGTCAGTTGTCCTTTTGTAACAGATCTAGATGAATGACCACTTCCAGAATTTGATTTGGGCAGCAATGCACAGAGAGTTCCATAAATGGCACCTTGGAAGATCTGAAAATATAAATTAATACCACTATACAAAACATAATTCTGAAAAGTCAAGGCATCAGACAATGAAAGAACTGTACAGTGATGAGTCCAACCAGGAAGTTTTTTATGAATTTTGTAGGCCCTGTTGTAGARCCTAACTATGGGTTCTAAGATTTCATTTGTTGTAAGAGACCAAACAGGTAAACAGTATGACATGGCTGAGAGTATAATGGCATGAAGATAGATATTTGAAACAGAAGATGTCAGATTGGATCAAATTTTTTGAATAAACATATAATTTCTGTTTCAACTTAGTGGTTAAGACTTGTACATGATCACGATAAGTCAAATGAGAATCCAAAGTAATTCCAAGATATTTGTAGGTAGTGACAATATCAAGGGGTTTGTTTAAAAAGGTGAGTTGATTTGTTAGATTGAAATGTCTCCTGGGTGAGGAAAAATACATGCACACAGTTTTTTAACATTAATTGACAAAAGATTATCTTGAAGCCAACCATGAAATGTCTGAAGATCTGCTTGTAACTGACTATTAATAGATTCAATATTGAAATCAGACAAAAATAGAACAGTATCATCAGCATACATTAAAATATTTGAATACTTCAATATTTTTGGAAGGTCATTTATGTATAATAGGAAAAGCAATGGGCCCAGTATGCTACCCTGCGGAACTCACACGGAACAGGGTAGAGACCCAGACACAGAGCTTCCATGTTTCACAACCTGACACCTATCAGTCAAATAAGAGGAAAACATTTGTATTGTAGATGATGAAAGTTGAAAATAAATCAACTTTTGTAAGGGAGTATAATGATCAACTGTGTCAAACGCTTTATGAAAATCAATATATACAGCACCAGTTACTGGACCTTTGTTCAAAGCAGCACGTATTTGTTCAGTGAATAAAATTAATGCAGACATGGTTGACTTTGACGTGCTGAAACCATGTTGGCTATTGCTTAGCATATTATTAGCTTCTAGATGCTTAAGTAGTTGATTAAATAAGGTTTTTTCAAGTAACTTAGAAAAAATAGGAAGAGCAGAAATTGGTCGATAGTTTGAAACTTCTGTTGGATCACCAGAATTAAAAATGGGAGTAATCTAAGCAAACTTCCAGGCATCAGGGAAAATAGACTGCACAATACATAAATTAAGCAAATGATGAAACAATGGTATTGCCAGCTAAATGTGGCAAAATGCTTGCTAAAAACTAACGTAGGCCTAACAAAATAGGCCTACTAGCTAAGAGTAGCTACTAATAATTGAAGGTCAGTGGTAAACAAACCTCAGTAAAAGCAAAATGCTAGTACAAATCTAAAAGTAGTAAAACGGGTAAACCTGTAGCATTAAAAAAAGGTCTGCTGAACCAGATTTTATGCTTTTGAAGAAATAAAGCTAAAAAAAATTATATTTTATGAATAAGCTGACCTTAAAGAGAACTGAACTTTTGGACCTTTGACTTTCTGAAAGAGCACAGTTTGCAGAAGTAGGCCTAATTAAGTCAAAAAAGGATCCTTCATAGTGTGAATGTTAAATTAGCATTCACACAAAAACGCATAACTGAAATGTTACATTGTGTGTTTGAATAAAAAGTGGGTTTGATAAATTAAGGAAATCCTGGTTTGGCAGATGCCACAAGTCATGAGTGTGGTTAATGTTTCCCCAAAATTTTCCATCGTCACCATCGAGGTTATTTTTCTTTGTTGATGCTGAACCATGTATGAAAATCATTTGACTTTATATACAGCCTTTTTGACCACCTGACTTTCTGTTGCTCTTATTTACAGTAAGGATGAAGTCAGCACAGAAATCCCTAACTGTGATTTGTGTAGCTGTTTGTCTGCTCTGAATCTTGTCAAAGTGGATGACTGAAATCTGAGCTGACAGCGGATGAAAGAAGCTGCAGAAGCAGCAGATTTCAGCTGTGATTATGTTTTGAGGGTTTCCTGGTTTCGAGTGCTGAAATGACTTTACTCTTTTTTTAAGTGTGATAATATCTCGCTGTTCTCTGCTCATTGGCAATTTGTGCCTAAAAGTCTGTCAGCGGGGAGACTTTTTTTTTAAACCAGGAAATACTTATCGTCTGAATTCTTGCTTTCACTTTTGAGAATTCTTTTTTGTGAAATGAAAATGAAATAAATGAGCTCAGGATGTCACCTGTCTTAGTGATGAAAACGTGGTTTTGGTCATGTTCAGTTTGGTGTTTTGCACTTTTGAACTGTCCAACTAGATAGTCAGATAACAGAGTACAAATCTACTGAAGAGAACACGTACACTGATTATCCTTCAATCAATACAAACTGTTCAACACATTGGAAYTGAATTAATAATTCTGATAATAGTTACCACCTACTGCCTTTWTGTCTGTTTTTAGTTTTATGTTGAGAAGTGACTAGCCATTTGTGTGTCGGCTAATTCTGATTAACTGGTGGCCATTTTGAATCAAACCAAACTGATTAGTTTTTGCACATTTTAATGGAAGTTGTTCAGTAGTTCATGAGATGTTTTGCTAACAAACAGACACACACTTAAATGGGCAAAAACATGATGGTCTACAATTCTCACGTATTAAAATAAAACAAAGCAGTCAAAACTTCGTCTTGTTTTATTTAGTATTTAATGTAAACTTCCTCTTTTTTTGTAAAGCTATACAGACACAAACAGTGCGAAAACTACACATTTCTTTCATGTTTGTTTTGCAGACATAAATACTAAAACGTCTCCCTGGACGAATTGTTCGAAATGTTCTCGTCTTTTTCTGCTGGACTCCTAAATATTTGTAAAAGGTGTAACGCAAACACCTAACCCTGTTTACAGGAGACACAGGAGGGCTGTTTTCCACATGGCACAAAGTAAAGTTGGGAGACGTCACAAAAATCTAAAAACAGACATATTTCCTGATAAAACCGCAGAAAGCACAGTAGAGGTAAATAGTGAACACTTCAGGCTTTTTTAGACCATGAAAACAACATCCGTGGGGGGCGGGGGACTAAGAAGAGATAAAAATATAAAAAARACATACAGTACTGGAAGAGCCAGCCAGTTTCTATCGTTCCTTCATGTTTTCTGTCAGTTCGAAGGGACCTGCCACGTTTTTCAGCTTCTGACTGAGGGAAAGGCAAAGTTCAGGCTCGGACATGAAAGGTGAAGGACTGACACACACACACACACACACATTCATACTAAACACACACACACACACACACACACACTTTCACACAGGAGTGAGATGTGTTCCCTCTAGGAGGCGGTGAACTTCCTGATTGTGATTATGATGAGGGCGAGGAGGACCGACGCTCCCAGGAAGACGGCTATGACTATGGCTGTGATGGCCCCTGGCCCCAGAACTCCTACACACACACACACACACACACACACACACACACACACACAC